TTGCTTGGCGCTTCATCCTTGAAGGAATCAAGCTTCGAACGTCGCATTTTTCTGCTAACCCATCAAACTTTTCTTCCGTTGGTGTTGTCTTCCTCTTTCCAAAAGGCTTCTCATTATCTTCAAATCTTTCCGAAGCTGATCGTCGCAGATGAGAGACTGTTGTGTTGCTTTGTTTCTTAGGCTTTAACAACCTTTCAAAAACAGAGCTTTGGGATGTTGGCGCGCTAAGCCTCTTGAAGACAGAGGTTCGGTCTTGACTACCAATGCAATTAAGCACTGAAATTTTGGAGCTTGAATGGCTTATCCTATCGAAGACCGACGTCCGAGGGGTGGATTTAGGCTCTTTTTTGGTCTTGTTCAATGCTCACGTTGATGTGTTGAGCGCTAGCTTTCTTCACTTTGCTTGAAATCTTCACGGGTGCATTTGGTGTGAAGCCAAGTCCGGCTTTGTTGTTGTCAACTCCGTAACCATGCTCCTTCAACTTCTTTTGAGTTTTGGTGAGGTTACGTTCTTTGTCATTGACAGTGTTTGAAACCTTCTTTCCAGCCGCCTCAGAAGAAGCGAAGTCGTACCCGGCCTTTGACATGAGTTTGTAGGCGTTTGGGTCGAAACCTTCCTCGGTCCTCTTGGTTGGAAGAAAGCTTGATTCCACCTTCTTTGGTAGAGCTTTTATGAAGCCTTGTGGTAGTCTTGCGGCCTTAGCACCCCCTAACTGTGTCAGAGGTAAAACTGCATTCGTCTTGAGCAACTTTACATTATCCGTGTGCCACTGTGTATCGGCTTTTCTTGTTCCAGTTTCGAATGGAGATTGACCATTCTTTCTTCTTGACATCGGGATATACCGGAATATGGGTGCGTTCGGTCCTTCTGACGGCATCCTACTCCCTTTGGTTGTTGCAGGTTTAGCAAACTCATCGCCGTCTTTGCTTGAAGATGGCACGGCCTGCTCTTTTTGCTTTTTAGGCATGGCTTGCCACTCCTGCTTTTTAGGTACTGCTTTGCCCGTGGATTTGATCTCTTCCGGAAGAGCTTCAGGTACCATGTCTTCGTCCATGTAGAACTTGGCGTCTGCAAAGTGTGATTCAGCTTCGGTGAATGGCTTGGTGTCACCTTGGATCACCTTCACTCCTTCTCGGTAAAATTTTAGGCATTGGTGAAGGGTGGACGGCACTACCCCATTTGCGTGGATCCAAGGTCTTCCTAAGAGCAAACTGTAGGAAGTTCTTGCCTCACGTGGAATATCGTGCTTGATTTGAGCTCACCAATGGTCATCTCTACTCGGATCATGCCCATCGCCCTTTGTCCTCCTTGGTTAAAACCCTGGATCAGCAAACGGCTCAGGGATAGTTCATTCACCTTGATGCCGATTATGCTCATTGTTGATTTTGGCATGATGTTTATGGCCGACCCACCATCCACAAGCATGCGGTTGACTTTGTATTCCCTTACGTACCCTGAGACGAAGAGAGGACGGTTGTGAGGCTTTGATCCCAGCAGTAGGTCTTCGTCAGTGAAGTTAATTGCGTCATGGGTGGCACAACATGTGGCACATTCATGTGGCTGAAGCTTCGAGCCTTCGTCGTTACTTTCTTGCACTTCGTGGTCGCCGGGACTTGCCAGGACTGCTGCTAGTGCTCTTCGTATCTTTTTTGGCAATGGTAGCGCTTCCTCGATGCTAAAGTGTGTTGGTAGACCTTATTCGGGTGTGAGGGTCTTTTCTACCTCAGTAGCGATAGCTTTGCCTTTTGAGGGCTTTTCTATTTCTACTTCAACCATGTGACAGGCCATGGTAGTGCACTGTTGGAAAAAGTCATTCGGGAAGTATTCACGCAAGGAAACGGGAATGCGTGGCTCCTGCTCCGTAGGTTCCCCAGCATATGTTGTCTTATCATGCTTTATGTTTCTTTTAGGCTTTGCATTGTTGCGGCCGTGGTGATTTCTTCTTTGTTCCACCTTTGGCTGTATGACTCGTGGTCTTGGTTTCCTTGTCTTTTTGTAGGTTACCAATATCCATCCTTCTTTATCATCAGCATGTGCATCTTGGTCGCTTCTCTCCAGTGATGGTTGTGTAGGAGGTGTCGTGCAACTTGAGCATTCACGGGAACGGTCAGGTGTCGTTTGGAGAGGCACAGGATTAAACGATCCAAACGCAATTGTAGTGGTATGCGTTGCGGCCGTGTCCTCAAGGTCGAGCTCAATTTGCCCTTGTTGTGCTAGCTTCATGATGAGTTCTTTAAGAACGAAGCACTTGCCAACAGGATGGCTCACGATACGATGGTACTTGCAGTACCTAGGATCGTTTGTGCGATTCATTTCTTCAGGATGCTTGCATTCGGGTAGCTCAATCACCTTTTTTTCCAGCAAGTCATCTAACATGGCAGCCATGTCAGAGTCAGAAAAAGGGTACGTTTTCTGTTCCAACTCTCTCAAAGTGCTCTTGTATCTATCTTGGGTGCGAGAAGGCTCACTTGTCTTTATCTCCTTCGCTTTTTTCTTGGAGGAGATCTTGATGGGCGCTGAGGAGGTCTTGATGAGTGCTGAGGAGGTCTTGATGGGGGTAGTGTTGACGATGAAAGCTTCCTTAGCGGGCTTCTTCCCAGTCTTGTCTATATTTGAGGCGAATACTTTATCCTTATTGAAGTTAGTAATCGGCTCCTTTTTCCCGTGATTAGCGATACTCAGCTCCATGTCGTGGGAACGAGTTGCTAGCTTTTCGAATGTTCTTGGTTTTATGCCTTGGAGGATGTAATGTAACCCCCAGTGCATGCCTTGAACGCACATCTCAATGGCAGAGGTTTCAGAAAGCCGATCTTTGCAATCCAGACTTAAGGAGCGCCATCTATTTATGTAGTCGACGACAGGTTCATCTCTCCACTGTTTCGTACTGGTCAGCTCTAGCATGCTTACAGTACGACGAGTGCTGTAGAAACGGTTGAGGAATTCCCTTTCTAGCTGGTCCCAACCGTTGATAGACTCAGGTTCGAGGTCAGTGTACCAGTCAAAAGCGTTACTTTTTAGCGAACGCACGAACTGTTTGACGAGGTAGTCTCCCTCTATCCCAGCATTGTTGCAAGTTTCAATGAAATGGGCGACATGTTGCTTCGGGTTGCCTTTTCCATCGAACTGCATGAACTTTGGGGGCTAATAACCCCTTGGCATTTTCAAAGCATCAATCTTCTTGGAGTAAGGCTTTGAGTACAGTACGGAGTCATACGAGCTTCCTTCGTACTGTGTCTTGATAGTGCTTGCGATCATCTCCTGTAGCTGCTGGATAGAGAGAGATCCCATGAATGCCGTTGCTTGGTCTAGCTTCGGCTTCTCTTCAACTTTCTCCGCTGATGGCTCCTCTTCTTCGTCGACTTCTTTCTTTAATAGGCCAACATTTGGGTCGACTTTCACGTCGGGCAGCGCATCTAGTTGGTTGACAAGTGCGGCAATCTGCAAGTCCTTCTCTTCCACAGTCCGTGTGAGCTTTGCAATTGCTTCATTCATCTGAGCTAGCTGCTCCTCGATTGAAGTTGCTCCAGTGGTCATGACTTGCATGGTTGTACAGCCGCTCGAATCAGCGTTGGAGAGTAGGGACTCTGAGTATTTCCTCGGGCTTTCTCCCCTTGATGCCCTTAGCGAGGCTAGGGTGATCATAGGCTCGTACCTCAGGTGCTCTTGTTCCTTTGACAGAGTTAATGCAGGGGCGGAAGCCGCGGCAAAAAGAGCTCTTGCTTTACTTCGGGTTGTGATGCCCGAAATACCACCACTTGCGGCGATGATGTTCTTGTTCTTTGCTTTGATTGCAGGAACAGCTTGATCCTTTCTTGATGCCATTTGCGTTTTTTTCGATGATTTGAGGATAGAAATGAGAGGTAGAGAGGTCCCACTGGGCGTGCCAAATTTGTGAACACGAAAGTTCCTTGAAACAAGAAACAAGAATAACGTGTACAAAATAATATTTTTTGGTTTGATGATTTTGGGGTTACGATCTCTCTCAAATTTGGTCCTCTGATTCTATCTTCGTAGGGTGTAGGTTTGTGGATGAGTTGTTGATCCAAAGGGCCGTCGGGGCTTGATCTAAGGATGAACAGTTGATGAACGGATGAACACTTTCTTCAAGGGCCGTCGGGGCTTGACTTGAATAATGGTTGTGTGGATTTGTTGAGGTTGTTGATCCAAATGGCCGTTGGGGCTTGATCTTAGGATGAACGGATGATGAACAATGAACACTTTCTTTAAGGGCCGTCGGGGCTTGATCTTGAGTTGGTGGAAGTTCTTCAAGGGCCGTTGGGGCTTGATCTTGAAGGAGGATTTGACGAAGAACGAAGAGTGCTTTCTTGATCCTTCGGGATTTTCTTGAGAGCTTTAGAACTTAAGGCTTCAAGGTTTTGGTGTGTAGAGAAATGTATTTGTGAATTGGTTGATGCTTGATACCTTGATGGAGAAGCCTATTTATAGGCTTTGAGAATGAATCACCACCACAAAATATTTTTTTCCTTTCCAAGCACCATTGCCTAATTTTCCCACTTAATGCAATATTGAAATTGAAGTGGTGTAACTTATGGCCTAATTTCCCACTTAATACCATTTTAAACTTGAAGTGGTGTAACTTATGGCCTAATTTCCCACTTAACACCATTTTAAACTTGAAATGTGTATGCTTTGTCATTGCCCAAATGAGAAAAACTTGCTTTGATCCGTAATGGATTGAAGTGTGCTTGCCTTGTCATTGCCCAACATGAGAAGAAAAACTTGTTTTGATCCTCAATGGATTGAAATGTACTTGCCTTGTCATTGCCCAAAATGAGAAGAAAAACTTGTTTAATCCTTCAAGGGTATTTCTTCCTATTTTGTTGAGTCACACGCCATGTGTACAATTTGTACAACACGTGGCGTATGCCATGTATGCCTTGACACGTCAAAACTTTAATGCATTGGTGAACATTTGTTTTTTTTTTTTACTGAAATTTCGATGTCTACACTCATGGTTGAAGATCTACTAACCCTCTAGAAGGCACTGAAAGATAGATGCAATCACCAGAAGACAGTGATTCTTCCAAGGGCTCGTTATGAGTGGGCTCACCTAAGGATTCAGGATTTCAAGACGGTGGCTAAGCACAATTCTGCTATGTTCAGAATTACTTCCCAGTTTAAGCTCTGTGGAGAAATGATCACTGAGGAAGATATACTGGAAAAGACTTTCAGCACTTTTCATGCCTCTAACGTGCTCCTGCAGCAACAGTATAGAGAAAGAAGTTTTACTGAGTATAACCAGTTGATATTTGTACTCCTCGTGGCTGAACAACACAATGAGCTTCTGATGAAGAATCATCAGTCCCAGCCTACTGGATCTGCACCATTCCTAGAAGTGAATGCTGTTTCGCTTAAAGGGAATACCACATCCTCTTCGTGGCAATAATTACAAACGAAGACATGGCCACAAGCAAGGCCGGTGGAATGGGAAAGGCAAGAACCATGGTGTCCAGGTTCCAAGGCATAATATAGGCCCGAGCTTTAAGAATGCATATCGCCAGAAAGGCATAGCTCATATGAATACTCCTAAAAATCTTGAAGGAGTTTGCCATAGGTGTGGTGGCAATGGGCACTGGGGGCGTACCTGTCGTACTGTAAAACATCTGGTGGATCTGTATCAAGCCTCCCTCAAGAAGAAGGGTGTCGAGACCAATTTCCTCGACCAGGCTAAACCGATTGATATACCTGATCCAGTGACTGATTTATTGGGACAGTTGAACACAAACCACCTAGATGTTTCAGATTTTATTATTGAAAGAGGGAATGAAGTTTATGGATCTGATTGAATCATTTATGTTTAATATACTCTTGTTATTTGTACTTGTGGTTTAATGCTCGCATTTTCAATTCAATAAAAGTAGTATTCCAGTATGAATAAACTGTTTTTAACTGTCATTTCCATTACTTAGAGAGCATGGATAAAAATTATGGTTGTTTTCAAAACAAGAGCAATGACAGAGACCTTTGTCTTGCAGATAGCTCAACCACGCATTCAATACTTCGAGATTGAAAGTATTTCTCGAATTTGGTACTTGCAAAAGTACATGTAACAACAATATCAGGGGCATCAGATGTAATTGAAGGCTCAGGAAAAGCCTAGATCATGTTACCAAATGGAACAATATTGTCTATACATAATGTGTTGTACATTACTCGATCCACTGGAAATTTGTTGAGTTATAAAGACATAGTCTAAATGGATACCACATTGAAACAAAAAGTACAGAAAATGTGGAATATATATGCATTACCTCCAATGATACCCAGAAGCATATATTGGAGAAGTTGCATGGTTTATCGAGTGGATTGTATTATACATACATAAAGACAATTGAGGCATATAATGTTGTGAACCAGAAGTTCATGAACTCAAAAGTTTATATGCTTTGGCATGACCGTTTGGGTCATCCAGGATCCACCATGATGCATATGATCATTACCAACTCTAATGGATATCCATTATTAAACAGACATATTGTTGTCTCAAATGATAACCCTTGCAAGGCTTGTTCCCAAGGGAAGTTGGTAATTAGACCATCACAACTAAAGATTGATGTTGAATCCCCATCATTTTTACAAAGGATCCAAGGGGATATTTGTAGACCTATTCAACCACCTTGTGGACCATTTCGATATTTTATGATTTTGGTTGATGCATCTACCCAATAGTCACATGTTTTCCTGTTGTCTACTCGAAATGTAGCTTTTGCAAGACTTCTTGCTCAGATAATTAAGTTGCGAGCACAGTTCCTAGATCATCCCATTAAGTCAATCCGACTTGATAACACTAGTGAATTTATGTCTCAAACATTTGATGATTACTGTATGGCACTGGGCATTGATGTTGAACATCTTGTTCCTCATATCCATGCTCAAAATGGTTTAGTAAAGGCATTTATTAAGCGGCTTTAATTAATAGCCAGCACTCTGCTTAAGAAAACAAAATTTCTAGTATCTGCATAGGGACATGCCATATTACATGCTGCATCATTGGTTAGATTGAGACCCATAACCAACCACCAATATTCACCAATACAACTCGTGTTTGGGCATCAGCCAAACATTTCACATTTACGAGTTTGTGGTTGTGCTGTTTATGTGCCTGTTGCACCGCCACAACGCACTAAAATGGGACCTCAGTGCAAACTGGGAATTTATGTGTGTTTTGATTCACCATCTATCATTAGATATTTTGAACCCTTGACAAGTGATATGTTTACGGCTCGTTTTGCTAATTGTCACTTTGATGAGACCATCTTCCTGTCGTTAGGAGGATAAAAGACCGTTCCAGAAGAACGGCAAGAGCTGACATGGGTTGTTCCCACTTTGTCTCATTTTGATCTACGAAGTATTCAATGTGAAAATGAAATGAAAAGGATCATTCATCTTCAAAGTATTGCTAATCAAATGCCAGATGCATTTAATGATGCTTCGAAAGTGATAAAGTCACATATACCAGCTGCAAATGCACATGCAAAAATTGATGTCCTTGTTGGACAAAATAAAGTGGCAGTGAATGATTCATCTAGTCGCCTAAAGCGTGGTAGACCCCCATGTTCAAAAGATTCAGCCCCTCAAAAGAGAAAGATGAGAGCACAGTTGAACCTAAGTGAAATCATTCAGGAACAGAAAATGAATGATAAATCCACAATTCATGATTTTGTACTTCCAGAAAAAGAAAATGTCATTTATGAGACACATGTCCCTGAAGAGACAGAAGTACATGAAAGCAAAGAAATATCCATAAATTATGCATGTCCTAATGAATTGTGGGATCGAAATGAAATAATCATCGATGACATGTTTGCATTTGCAATAGCTACTGAAATTATATTAAACGATGACATTGAGCTCCGCTCTATTGATGAATGCAAACAGAGACATGATTGGCCTAAGTGGAAAGATGCAATCCAGGCAAATTAAATTCTTTGGAAAGGCGAAGTGTTTTTGAACCAGTAGTCCAAACTCTGCCTGGTGTAAACCCCGCAGGTTACAAATAGGTATTCATAAGGAAACTCAACGAGAAAAATGAGATTGCAAGATACAAAGTAAGACTCATTGCACAAGGTTTTTCACAAAGACCTGAAATTGATTATGAAGAGACATACTCTCCTGTAATGGACGCAATTACATTCCGTTACTTAATAAGTTTGGTGGTTTCAAAAAAACTTGACATGCGACTTATGGATGTCATTACCGCGTATCTATATAGAAAATTAGATACTGACATACATATTAAAGTCCCAGAAGGACTTAAGTTGCCTGAAGCAACTAACAAACCACGAGTTATGTTCTCAATTAAATTAAGGTGATCAATATAGGGGCTGAAACAATTTGGACGAATGTAGTACAATCGTTTGAGTGAGTATTTGATTAAAGAAGGATATGCCAACAATGTCATCTGCCCTTGTGTATTCATTAAGGAATCAACTACTGGATTTGCTGTAGTGGCAGTATATGTCAATGATATAAACCTAGTTGGAATCCCTGAAGAGCTCAATAAAACTGCTAAATATCTGAAAAGAGAATTTGAAATGAAAGACCTTGGGAAAACAAAATATTTTCTCGGTCTGCAGATCGAGCATTGTGTTAATGGAATTTTGGTCCATCAATCAACTTACATTGAAAAAATACTGAAGCGATTTGGTATGGGCAAGGCACCCCAATGGTCGTTCGTTCTTTGGACATTAAGAAAGATCCATTCCGTCCAAAAGAAGAGGATGAATTGGTTCTTGTCCAAAAGTACCATATTTGAGTGCAATAGATGCTTTATTGTATTTAGCACAATGTACTAGACCATATATAGCTTTTTCAGTCAACTTGTTAGCAAGATATAGCTCTTCTCCAACAATTCGTCATTGGAATGGAGTCAAAGATGTTCTACGATACCTTCGTGGGACAACAGACATGGGCCTTTTCTACTCAGACAAGTTCACAAATGACCAAATCCTTGTTGGATATGCAGACGCTGGTTTCCTCTCTGATTCGCACAAAGCCCGCTCACAAACTGGATATGTGTTCAATAATGGAGAGACTGCAATTTCATGGCGCTTAACAAAGCAAACATTAGTTGCTACATCTTCCAATCGCTCGGAAATAATTGCTTTGCATGAAGCAAGTCGTGAATGTTCTTGGTTAAGATCAATGATCCATCACATCCGAAATTCATGTGGTCTACCTTCAAAGACAGACATTCCAACTGTCATCCATGAAGATAATGTAGTCTGTGTTGCCCAAATGAAAGAAGGATTCATCAAGGACGATAAGACTAAACACATATCTCCAAGATTTTTCAGTACACATGAGCTTTAGAAGGCTAAGGTTATTGAAGTCAGACAAATCTGTTCCAATGAAAATTTGGCAAACATATTCACCAAGTCTCTACCAAGGTGCACATTTCAGAAGTTAGTGCAGGGAATCGGATTATGTCGGCTTACCAATTTGAAGAATGCAGAATCAGAGGGAGATACAATTCTGGGGGATCATCCATGACACATGCATGTTGTACTCTTTTTCCTTCGATTAGGATTTTTTCCCACTAGTTTTTTTTCCTATCAACGTTTTCACGAGGCAACGTAAACATGCTTAACACCATATCAACAATCCGGGTAGAGTTGTACTCTTTTTCCTTCGCTGTGGCTTTTTCCCACTGGGTTTTCTAAGCAAGGTTTTAACGAAGCAACTGATGTTGATATGTGGGCATCCAAGGGAGAGTGTTGTAAATAGTGGGTATGTTTGCCCACATGTGTATAGTAAAAGTCATATGCTAAATAGTAACCCTTTTGTAAGTTTCCCTTGAAGTGGCTCTATAAATAAGAGCACTTCAATTGTTCAAAGTGGAAAAACACAGAAAAGAGAAAGGAAGGAAATATACTACTTTCAGTATCTCTTATTTTCACACTTGCAATAATTTTGTGGTAGTATTAAAAAAACTAAACAGTGTAATATTTGCACCCGCTTCGCCCTCGCTCTTAGCAAAGGTTATTTCTCTAACTTTTGCCTATTTATAACAGACCACTGGTTTTAGTTACCAACCGTGACTCATTTTCCGGATTAATGTTGGCTCTACGTGCAAAATTCTTTCCATCTTTTCTAGTCAAAAGCATGGACGGAGGGAGGTAAGGCCCAGTGGGGGCACATGCCCCCTCTCATCCTTTTTTTAAAAAAAAAATTACAAATTAATCAATTAATCATTCCCTTTTTTTTTTTTTTTTTGCTGTGCATATTATTCAATTAATAATATTAAAATAGTGAAAATCCTCTTTTAGTTTTGAAATGCCCGTTCGTCTTGCATATTTTTCTCACTCACTAATGCCTAAACCTTGTTGAGTTGCATGTATTTGGTTAATTAGTACAAATGAGCATTAGATTGTCAACAATTAAAGA